TAGATAGATATAACAAATAAATTAAATATATCTTATATGTCCAATATGTCTAAGATATCAATTATATCAAATATGTCTGGTATATCAAATATATCAAATATATCTGACATTTAGATCTGCAATATGCTGCGCCACGTTCGTTAATCCAATCCTGTTACAATACTCTAAATGTGACAAAAATGAACCTTAATTCTGAAGGCAAATAGTCAATTATGCGTGATACAATATTTAATAGACAAATACAAACTATGACATTTCCTTTTGATTATTTTGATGAAAATCTTCGTAAAAAGGCTAAAGGTATGAAGGTGATCTTACAAGAGCGTGATTTATGGATTTCAGGATTAAAAGCTTTTTGTGGTAAAAATAATGAATTAACAGAAAATCCTAAATGTTGTGCACGTCATATTTTGAGTACTTAGGAAGATTTTCGCAATCAAAAACCTTTATTACAGGAAATTATTGAAGGACTTGAACATAAAGTGATATTTTATCCAAAATATCATTATAAACTTAATTATATAAAAATGTATTAGAGGCTGCAATATGTTATACTTGATAAAACTGTAATTATACATGAAAAGGATTGCAAAAAACAGTTTTGCGTGCATTAGACTCAGTTCCTTTAGGTCAAATACGAAAATATGCTTAAAAATCAGCAAAATTTATGGAGTGTTATTGAAGAAGATTAACAGGATTACAAGCTGAATATGTTTTAAAAAAATATAAGTCTCACCGAACTGTTTCAAATTTTATTTTTGAAATTATCAACATGACAATTTAATAAAATAAATGATATTACGTGATTAGATTTGGACTAATCATAAATTATTTTATGGTTATCACGTGATTTGATAGTCATTTCCAATTTAAAACACAATAATTTGATTTGATGATTTATTGTAGCACACACTATACTAAAGTGGTAAGAAAGTTGAATACAGATTATACATTTTTTGTGATCCACTAATAAACCCATTGGTCTCTTGTTAAATAATACAGACATGTGAATATTATAGACAAAAAACGTAGGAATAGTGTATTACTGGATTCCTTTGGTGAGTGCAATATCGAACCGTTTAGATAAAAGATAAATTGCCTCCCTTGAGAATATCGCCAATATAGAAGAAAGTTGAAGACAAAAAAAAGTACAGCAATTACTTAATATTTACAGGCAGGCGAGTATTTAATTTTTGTGTAAAAGGATTGTAGAAAAATAAGTAGTATAAGAACTCTTCGAGCTTCTCTGTATTTCAACTGAGCCACAAAGCTAGTGTTAGAGTACAAGTGACCCTTCGAGCTTGCCTGTGTTAAAGTCTTTCAAGCTGACCTAACACTAGCCCCTCCAGAACTCAGATGATCTATCGAGCTTGTTTAAAGTTAAGTTTCAAACTAACCATAGACACAGATAATCCATCAAGCTTGTCTGATGTTCAGTCTCGATCCTGCCTAGTGGAATAAAATCAAGTAAAATAAATGAGTATAATATTTAAGAATAATAGTAACTTCCTAAATTTTTCTTTCAGAGTCGGACGTAGTTCTGACAAAAGATTGGAAAGAGCATAAACCGGCTGAAATGATTAATGAACTTTCAGTTCACATTTATCAACTGACACTCACGAATGAAAGGAATAATGTTAATATAAGTGGAACTACTAATGGTAAAACTTTCAATTCTGGACTGTCTGAAAAAAATATATCAAAAAGAGATCAGGAAGAGATACACATAAGCATTTTTTTGGTTAATATTTAGAATCAACAGAATCAACTATATTGTATTTAACCTTTTAGAATAAATGTAAAAATCAGTCAAAAAAATGACAAAAATAGACTCGACAATTGATAAAAATTTTTTCCCAATGATTTATTCTTCTCAACATGATTAAGTTCATGAAAATGTGAATAATAAATACAATAATGAGGATCATATCTCTACTTTAGGTCCACAGGGTCATAGAGACAATATTTCCGAAGAAGTATTAGAAGATGGTCTTTTACAAGAAATCCCTGATGCTATTGTTGAAATCCTGATCTATTTATTATTATATAATTGATAGTAACTTCACAGGTTATCAGAGATTACTACACAGTTCACGGTAAGTAATGCATTGATTGGATATTTTACCACTTCATGGCAAAATCCACCAATCAATGCATTGCTATAGTAATTGTGAAGTTATTAGCAATTACCTGTAAAGTTACGATATAATTATTCAACCTATTGATTATTATAAAATAATATTTTAAAATTATTCTTTTTTCTTTCTCATTTTATATTATTTAATCTTAATACAACTGCATTTTTTTTATTATACCAAAATCTAAATAAAAACCTTTTAAAACCTTTTTTTTATAATAAAAAATTATTTTATTATTTAGTTAATTTTAAATACAATGATCCTAAAAATAGTGATATATAAGTAATTATTAATTGTATTTCAATTGATAAATCAAATAAGAATTGGATTATACAGTTAGAATGATATCATGTAAATTTAAATGAAAAAATTGAAAATGAAATTGATCTTTAATACATATAACTAAGGTTCTTTATTTATTTATTTTATTGTTACATATTTTTATAAAGAAACTAACATTCATATATTTAGAATTGCAAAACTTTTCTGCATAAAAGAATTTAATTGAGAGTTAATTAATAATAACTGATCTTTCACTTTCAACGTATTTTAAAGAAAATATATTTAATAATTGTTATTTTATATTTAATATTAATAGTAAATAAAATTTAATTAAGTATATATAATAATTAATAAATAATTAATATATTAAACTTTTTTAATGTATTTTAATATAAGTAATAACTTATATTATAATATTATGGTTAAAGTATAAATAAATTCTGTCTGTGAAAAATTACTCTATAGATAAAGTATAATAATCATATACAGTTGTGTAATTATTTAATTTATATAATATTAATTTGATTTTTAGTCTAATATTCTTAATATTATATAAAAGGTTTTATAATAAAAGATTATAAAATTAGTTTTATTAAAATTAGTTTAGGATAATTAATAATAATACTAATTTAATTTTACAAGAATTTTAACATGTTCATTTTTTTATAAAAAAGCTAAGTATTAAGAATATTTTTTTTTTTTAATTTTTTTCATAATAATAAGAAATTTTATCATAGATTATTACAATATATTTCTGATCACTATTACTAATTTTACTAATTTTTTTAATATAGGACCTTTGCAATAGAAAAGGGAAATAGCTAGAAAAATCAATTTTATTTTTATATACAAAATATGATTTTTAGGTCAAAATATAGCATTAATTCATTTTTTATTTTTTCAGTTGTTTCTCCTTTCTATACAAAAGTTTCATATGATCTAAAAATTTTATTAATTTTAATAATAGATTTAGATTTATTAATAAAAATCTGAAATAAAAATATCAGATATCATATTATTCTGAAATTAGAAAACCTTTTTTATTATAGTCCTATTTAATTTCAAATAATTTTTTTAAAATAAATAATTTAAAAAGAAAACAAAAGAAAATTATACATTTAAATGATGAATAATCACTTATATAATATAGTTTAATATTGTAATTAAATTAATTATATATGATAAATCACAACTTATTAGTAAACTTATTTAAAAATTTATAAATTTAATCTTCAAAAAAGCAAATAAATCTAAAGATAAATTGTTATTATACTAAATAAATGAAATAATTAAAATAATAATTCCTTTTAAAATTGATAAAATATAATTAAATACTAGGTTAAATCAAAAGAAATAAATAAATAAATTAAATTAAAATAGCAAACAAATTGAAAATATTTTTATTTAAAAGTTGAAAAAATTATATGATTAGATTATTGAGTAAAAAAAAGCTTGTAAAATTTAACTTTAGATGATAAAATACTGATATAAAGATTCTAATAATAATATCATTGATATTAATAATAATATTAATTAATGTTAATATTAATAATGATATTAATAGTAGTATTAATAATATAATTCAATAAATAATTATAAATTATAATAATAATATAATATTTATAATAATAAAAATAAATTTTAAATATATAAATAATAAAATTAATAAAAATTTATAGGTTATTTATTTTCAAATAGTTATTAAATTGGTAATTATTTATTTTCAAAGGTTATCTAATTTAAAATAATACAATATATTTAATATTTTTAGAATATTAATCTTTAGATTATATTAATTAAATACATATATTTATCAGAGATATTTATTTTAAATTTATGAAATCTAAAAATAAATAATTTAATAAAATATTTTTCTTTAAATATTATTTATTTAATTATTAATAATAAGAAATTTTATATTATATTAAGAATTTTTATATTTAGAATTTTTAATTTTATTCTTATCAAATTTATGATAATACTTTTGTTATTTACAGATAATAAGCAAAATTATCTATTAATTTATTTTATTAAAATTATGATATTAAAAATTAATAATTTTATATTTATAATTACTATATAGTATACTATAGTAATACCTGCCTAAATTATTTTTTATTATAACTAAACTTTCGTCAAATTTTATTTGACTAAATTCTTGACTAAAGTTTAAACTCTTAACTAAAATCTAAATTTTGATTAAACTTTTAGCAAATGACTAAATGATTAAATTGCTTTATAATATATAAATTATAAATTTTTATTTATTTATCTTTATTAAAGAATATATTATTTATTAATTTTAATTTAAATCATTTATTATTTATATTAATTAAATATATAATTAAAAAATATTACTAATTAATATTAAAGATAAAAATTATTTATATAAAACGTTTACTAGAAAAATCAGATTCTAAGAATTTTTTTAATTAAAATTAAGATTTTATTATATTTAATCTAAATAATATTAAAAACTAAAATGCAATAAAAATCAAATTTTGTTTAAAAAATTTTTCAGAACTCAAATTTTTCTATTAAATTTCTCATATAATAAATCAAATATAATAAATAATATTTTATTTACAAAAATTTTAAATTGAATTAAAATCTATAAAAAATCTATAAAAATTCTATAGAAATAAAGTTTCAACATTTCAGTATTTTAATTATTAAAGACTAAATAGTTTGCAGTTTCATCATATGACTAAATGTTTTAGCTTTATCCAGCATCATTAGTTTACTATATATAAGATTGCTAGGTAAAATCTGGAGGTTTTGCAAGTTGTCTAAATAGTGAAAGGTAAAATTTAACAAAATTTATGTTAAAACTTTATTGAAAATTCTGAAAAAAATAAAACTATATCAAAGCTTATAAAAATATAAAACTATATCAAAACCTTAATAAAAAATTAGTAAAAATATAATTTAGATATTTTGTCAAATTTAAAATGAATTTAGATAAGCAATTTAACTGTATTACATTTTTCTAGAAGTTTTTAGAAAAATAAAACTATTTATTTTAAATTTATAATATAATCATTTATAATCACTAGTATAAATATTTAAATCATATAATTATCAAATAATTAAAATGTAAAAAAAAATATTTAATAATATTTTAAATAACTTTATAAAATCACTTCTTAATACTAAAAAATAAACTGGTTATTTATCATTTCTTAACTTATCAACTTGATAAAAACTTTAAAATAAATTATTAATTTTATTCAAAAAACTTATAACTATTAAGATAGCTTAAATAAAAAAACTTATTTCTTGAAAAAATTTAGTTAAAAGTGCTTAAGGAAAGGAAATGCTAAGCTCTTTAAAGAAGCAGTAAACCTATATAAAAAAATGTTGTTAATATTTATTAATAAAGAGTTTAATAAAAGTAGAATCAATTTTGCTAGTTGGATGTTTAACATTATAAGTATAGTACTGAGACTTTTTAATTGAATCCGTATTTATAATAAGCTAACAGCATTGTCGCTTTTTTATCGAGCATATATAGTATATATGATCTTATCACAATTTATGATGATAAACCAAAATTGATTGGGCCAATTTTCAATTAAATCTCTAGGGAGAAGATTCTTGAAAAATACAATATACCATTTAAATTTTAGAAATTATCAAAACAAAAAAAAAATTTTTTTGTTTCTTAAAGATTATTTATGTTACATACTTTTAAATTGATAAATAATAATGACAAATCCGAACAATAGCAGAAATATCACATGACTGGCGTGTCGCAATATGATTTTAATAAATTAATCCAGAATCAAATTATTACGAAAATAAATTAATCATCAACTCAACCTTTAGTTGTAGTAAATAAATCAATACTTCTTAACTTCTATTACTTCTTCTTAAAACTTCAACTCCTTCTAAAGCTACAAAAACGTCGGGTAATTCTAAAATTCTATTATAACCTTGATGATTTTCTCTTATATCAGGCTTATCCAAAAATCCTACTTTAACTAAATAACCCAAGTAAATTCCTATTAATCTCTCTCCCATTCTCTCACATTCTTTGCCAACAATTTCTCGCGTATTAGTATTATCTAATTCAGGTGACTTTGTAGATGTCGGTAAATCATCAAGGACAAAATGGAGTAACGGGTATAATGCATTATCTCCTGCTTGTAATGTAAATTCCATTAATTTGTTCCTCCACACAATATATTCGGCTATATCTACTGTATATCCATAACGAGGCAAGCAAGAAAATAACTCATCAAGTCTAAATGATGGACTTGAGGGATGCGTGATATGGAAAACACACTTAGACGCTGCAACAGGTGATAAGGATACGCGTGTAACGCATTCGGCAACGTAGTTAACAGGACACATGTTGATGGTGTTATAAATCGTAGGTACTACACCTAGCTGAATGCATCCTTTGATTAACCTCCAAATAAAATCATCAGTATTTGTAACTAAAAGGGAAAAGAATAGTAATTACATTATTGAACGCTATGCATAAAATAAAATAACAATCAATAAATAACTATACCCCCAGTTGTAGAATGTCCAACTATGTATCCAGGTCTTATTATCGTAGCCGGCATTCCTCTCTTATTTGCTTCCATAATTAATTTTTCTGATACCCACTTGCTTTGTCCATATCCGCTCTTTAATCCTGTCCTACTACCCTCCAAGTCATCATTCTCATAAATTCCTTTTCCACCACCTCCAATAATAGAATCACTTAAATTTACATAATGTTCTGTATCAAGAACTGAAGTTGAACTAACAAAGTTAAAAGGTTTGGTATGATGTGCTGAGGCAAGTTTAAGTGCCCAAATAGTTCCAAGCACGTTTGCTGCCCTAAGTTTTAAATAAGGATAAACCCAATGTACCTATAATGGCATAGATAAGGTTTGTGAGCCAAATTAAAAGAAAGAAAAGTACTTTAATGCAAATGCTCGTATATAAATCCTCACCAAGGCTCCGTTATGAATCACGACATCCACACGTTCTGCGAGTGATTTCCACTCTTCTTCACTAATACCTAACCTGTCTTCCTCCAAATCACCACAGACCACTTCCAACCTTCCTCGAGTTTCCCACTCGCCTCTCCATACTAGATGTGACATACAACTTTTCTTAATTCTTTCCATTGCAAGAGCTTTTGTTTTAGCTCTAACGTGAACAATAAGTTTAATGTCGTTACTAAAGTCCAGTAGAGATGAAACAATAAAGGCTCCAAGGAATCCAGTAACGCCGGTAACGAAGAAGTTCTTCCTGGGGTAATTCTCTATAATTGGCTCATAACTTTCTTGTATGTGTTCGGTTAACAATGACTCATAATCACTAGCGTAATCAAATTCTGCTTTATTTTCCTTCGAACCTTTGGTCTTATTTTTATTTGCAACAACATTATTTTCCAGCAGGTCAGTCATTTCACTAGCCAAGTTATATTCTCCACTTAACATAGTTTCAACTTCTTTTGCTTGTCCACGAATAGTTGGTTTTTCAAAGACAATTCCAAGAGGTACGTTAACACCACAAGTTTTCCTTAATTCAAAAATTAATCTTGTTGCTAAAATTGAATGTCCACCAAGGTCAAAGAAACTTTCATCCAACGGTATAGGTTTAGGCAGATTTGGAAGAAGTCGAGCCCAAATTTCATAAACTTGCTGTTCGGAGACCGTCATTTGCTCTTTTTTATTAGCCCCAGTAGCCGACTGTGATGCAAATTCGGCAGTATCGGGGAAAGGTAATGCAGGCTTATCTATTTTTCCATTTGGTGTCAAGGGCATCTTTCTAAGGGGAACGAACACTGAAAATAAATTGATTAATTATTTATGTATTTATGAAAAGAATTCATCCTTAATAAATTGTTTGCAACTTACCACTTGGTATGCTATAACTTGGTAATTTCATTTTCAAATATTCCCTTATTTGTTTAATAAGTCTGCGATATTTGCGCTTTCCAACTGTAATTCCCGTTTCATCATCTTCTTCAGCAGAACTCACAAACTCTGACAATTCGTCTCCTTCCATAGGTACAAAATAACTGACAAGAGTTTGCTCCTCATATTTATCTCTACGGACTAGGGTAACATTTTCTCTCACAAGTGGATGTTGTGAAAGGTGTGTATCTACTTCACCAAGTTCAATTCTAAATCCTCGAATCTTAATTTGATCATCGGCTCTTCCAGTACACTCAACTAGGAATTTTTTTTTAAAAAAATGGGGTAATTAATTTTTCAAGACCATGAATCACGTGAATCATGTACATTGAAAAATAAAATGTTTATTATACCATTCCCGTCTGGCCTATATCTTCCCAGATCACCAGTCCTGTACAACCTATCTCTCTTGCCTTTCCAAAATTGACGCCATTTCTCATCCCCTTCATTCTCATCTGTGTATTGGATGTTATCGCTAAACCAATTTATAAGAAACTTTTCCTTCGTTACATCCTCTAGCCTTAGGTAACCTTCTGCCAATCCACCAGCTCTAACATAAATCTCACCAATCTCACCAATACCACATAAAGAATCTTTCTTTTGCCTGTTAACAACGAGCAATTGAACGTTCTTCATGCCTTTTCCAGCGGGTATGACGTCCTTCTGTGACGATAAGAACGCAGGAGCGGAAGAAAGTGATGGAATAACAAAATAAGAAACAGATCTCTGCGTTTCTGTCGTTCCATACATATTTATAATTTGGGTGTTGGGTGCAAGATGCTGGAGACGGTTACAATCACGTTTTGTTAGAATATCTCCAACAAAGAAAGCATTTCGAAGCGAAGGTATCGGAGTGCTAGCATTAGCAGATAACAATTGACCCATGGCTACCATTTAATAGATAATGCGAATCATTATTAATTGGGATTAAACCCGCAACAAATTGTCATGAGAAAATCAAATGAAAGTTTTACCGGGCGTTAGATGAGTTACCGTGACTTCATGTTCAGCCATCCAAGTGGCCAATCTTCCGGGAATGCCAATATCTTCACTGGTCGGAACATGTAATTCGGCACCGAGAAATAATGGGGTGAAGACTAAGATGATAAAGGAAACTCATTTTAATTATCAACCTTCAATTAATAAATAAATCGGATAGAACTTCAAAACTCACTATCACGCTGAATTGGATCATGAGCAATTCCACTCAACATCGTAAACTTTTCTTTATCAGAAAGATCAAACTCTTGTGACATCCATGGATAATAATGTGTTAGTGAGAAATGACGCCCTCTAACCCCTGTGACAAAAGGAACGCATTATTAAACTATAATGAAGAGACATTTAAAGGGCTTAAAGGGAAATGTATAATTTTTTTTCTGTTACCTTTCGGTGTTCCGGTACTCCCGCTTGTAAAACTTAAAGTTCCAATACTATCCGGTCCAATGACTACACCAGCATCTATTGCGGCACGATCTCGAACCGAATCTAACGCATCGCCACCACCGTTAATGTCACCCCCCTTCAAAAATCCATCGTCTAAAATTTCTAAAGCAGGAATTTCGCATTTGATCTGAAGATTTTCTTGAATATATTTACGAACAGATGAATGTAAAGTCCCTGTATGTTTAAGCAGGATAATTCCACGCGGTATAGCAACCGATAGGTAAATGTTTTGACGATCCGGTGGATAAGCGGGATCTGCGTAAAGATGATTGGAAATATTATTTCATTTTTCAGGGTAGCTTTTTAAAAATTTTAAACAAATCAATTGAATAAACCAACCAATTACACTAAAAGTAGCACCGGCCTTAAGAACGCCCATCACCGCAACTACTAGGTCCACACCACGGTACGCGTAAACCATAACCACATCCTCCCTTTCAATTCCATTTTGAATTAAATGATGTGCGACAAGGTTAGAAGCCTCATTGATGTGACGATAGGTAAATACGCGTCTCTTATTACTACCATCACGAGATTCCACCACACAAGGCTTGTCGGGAAATTTTTTTGCATTATCAGAGAAAATATCCGTAATCGCACCATGAAATCCGGACCAATCCAAATCCGCACGCGGATCGGGGAGAATATCGAGACACTTTTTAGTCAGTATAGGGATCTCGGCTACACATAATTCTTTATTTTTATGTACATTATTAATAACGTTAATTAATTGATCTAATACATGGGAAATACGCTTTTCAGAAAATAAAATCTGATTATATGAAATTCTGATTTCGATTGAAGGTAAAAGTGCTTGACGTAACGAAGAAGAGGAGTGTGAGGTGATTGAAACCGTCAAGTCTGTTGTAGATGACGTGACTTGTAATAACGGATTTTCCGGGATATCCGTCTGATTAAAGAAACGAACGCGAAATAATGGTGAATGCGATGGTATCGAAGGTGATTCTTGACCTACACCATTGATTGACTTGGATACTGCATTGCTCCTTTTGTCTTTAGGAGGAAATAATTTTGATAATAATAAGTGAAACGGGACTTCATCAGAAGTGGCCTCTTGTTCAACCTTAATAGATATGTAATAAAACGTTATTATGTTACAAAAGAAGATAAATGAACTTGATACTCAAATTTTCGCTTACTTGTTGAACTTTTTGGAGCACTTGTTCAAAAGTGTCTGTATGGCTAATGCGTATTCTTAAAACGAGAGGATTTCTTGAATCCGAAGAAGATCCAACGGTGATATCCTCATCACCAGTATACCGATATAACAATATGGTGAAGGCAGCCAACAGAATTGAAAATGGAGAAGGATTTGACCCATTTGTTGGAGAAATACCAAGCGATAGTTGCAAAACGGCTAATGCCGTGATTTCGGGCAAATGTAATATCTTGGTTGCCTCTACAACTTTTGGTGGCAAAGGTCTAGGATAATCTGTAGGCAATTGGATCTCGGTCAAATTTTGTAAACGTTGTTTCCAACGTTCTAATCTTTCTGTCATTAATAAAACATCTTCATGTGACATTATTGAAGAAACTTTACTAGGAAAATTTTTTAGATTATTAAACTACTAGATTGATCTTATATTATTTTTTTAAGATATGATCATGTGTTTTCATGTTCGTACAACATCGATTTACGCAAAATAGATTATCTCAATTATCTGTCACGATGACTGAAACTTTAAAAAAAGCCAACCCTGACAAAGCTTTTAATGATCATTGTCTTTTACTATAAAAACACCAAATCACATCTTTATGGATTAACCAGGTGACACGAGAATTAAATGACGAATCATGGACTCAACTTTCTAAAATTTTTGTATTAAACTATTTAACTTCAAGTACCTAAATAATGAAATATTTTTTTTTTTTTAAGAACCGAAAAACACGCGATCTTTGCCATTTACAATATAATCCGATGATGGCATTACGTATCCTATGTCCGAATGGAATAGTTTGCATGAAAAGAAATATAAACAAACATTTATAAGCTTATATAAAAATCATGTGCTTCAATTTGTCAGTTACACTCGTTCATAAAACTGTTGATTGTTTACAGTCAAAAGTCTCATTTTATTTAGTAAGAGTTAGCAAAGAGTAAAGAACAAAATATGGGTCGTTTCAAACCGGTTATCAAAGCACAAGTCATCCCGAACGTGAAAAACACGTCTTCTAATATTGATGACATTTCAAAGGAATCTCCTTTAACACCATCACATACAAACGATAACACATCAAGTACAACTCCACCAACAGTCATAAGTGTGTCCACTCAAAAGATTCAAAAGAATCAAATGATATCTGATGAACAAGAAGTAAAAAAGGTAATTACGCCACGTAAAAAAAAAACAAATAACAATAACACAACTCCAAAGAACAAGAAACCAAGCAAGGCATCAAATTTGGATGAAAAAAACCCAAATATGGTAATTCCAGCGCCGGAGGGATCAACGGTTACATCCGCACCAAAACCAAATGTTAAACCTAAGAGAAAACGAAAGAGCAAAAATAGCAAAAATAATGATACTTCACAGAGCGATACGAATGACAATGAGGGTGAAAGCAAACCAAAACGAACCAGAAAAGCTAAAGATCCAAACGCACCAAAGAGACCTCCGAATGCGTATTTACAATTTACCTTTGCAAAAAGGTAGATCCGAATTTCCAAATATATTCCTACATCTCTAATTTTGGCTAGTAATACAATGACCTGCTTTTGTTTTTTTTTTTTTTTTTGATATTTATATATATATATATATTATTGCCCTTAATAGGGCAGAATTGAAGCAACAGAATCCTAAGATGAGTCCAAAAGAAATCACAATAATGCTTGGTGAAGCGTGGAGAAAATTATCCGAAACAGAAAAGAAGGTATATACGATATGAGAAACTAAAATTATTTTACCCGCCAAAAATAACTTATTTTGGTTTTACAGCCGTACTATGATCTCGTGACACAAGCTCTCGCGCAGTGGCAAGAAGATACGAAGGCTTATCAAGCCGTAAGTACCAAGTATAGATATTTAAATACTTATAATAAAAAAAATATATATATCAAAAGATGTATTCATAACCTTTTTTTTTTAATAAAAAATATCAAAAGTTGAATCATGTAGGGCTAACACAAGACACGGCACAAGCGAGCGAAATTTATTCTTCCTCGGTTCAAGATAACATACAGCAAAACAGTTTGAACACGCAATTAATTCCTGATAATAACTTGCCCGAGATCGGTTCAAGTAATAATACAACAGATGGATTGTATCAACTTCAAGCGAACACAACTAATTCAACTTGTGTACCTTATAACGATTATCATTCATACGGACAACAACAACAAGGTTCGATGGAGGCTTTGTTGGATATGCCTCCTGATAACTCTCAAACATATGGCTATCATTCAGATATGAATGGAACTCATCTATATACAGATGACAATATAAATACAAGTTTTTCACTTCCAACCATGATTCCTATCAAAGTGAGCATAGTTGATCAAGATACACATGGTTCATACTTTACACAAGATTTTCATACTACACAAGAACAACAAGAACAGCACCAAGTTGTCAAGCAGGATTTACTTTTGTGCCAACCATTTGATCCTACTGGCACCAATCAGAGACCGGAATCGAACACGATATCTGTTGATGAAAATCCTGTTATTCAAAAACAAGAAAAACCTGATACGAATAATATGCTCCTTTGTCAGCCATTTGAACCTTCCAAGATGAGTAATGTTGTGTCGGATAATGATAAAATTGATCATACATGGTTACAAGATGAGGATCAACATCAACAAACACAAGTAGAATACTCTGAATCAATAATTTATCCACGATTCACTTCTCATGAAATGACTGAACGCGGTTCTCATCTGATTCATCAAGGAACATCGCAAGAAATTCCTCAACGTGTTGAAATTTATCAACATCAGGTACAACAGTCGTTGCAGTCATTGAATCGACATAATCCTGAACCTATAAACGAAATGAATCAATCCGCTCATTCAATACAATACTTGACCCATGGCGATGCACGAACAAGCGATATCTCATTCGATGTACGAACAAATCCTGCTTCCATCATTATGACTAACTTATAAATGGATATATTAGTAATAATATCTCTCATGCAATTAAATGTACTAAACAAATAAAATAATCATTTACATCACGAATAAGGGGTGAGAAAGAAATATTTGAAAAATCATATGTATAAACATTTTTTGTTGTTACTTTTTCAGTGTTTTTTCCTTTGTAAAAACTTAGGATTATCGAACAAGCGCGTTGATCTTAATATAAATAAATTTTAAGTTTAGTAACGACATGAATAAGATTTAAAAAGGTAATTTAAAAAGAACATGATTGTTTTTCTTTTTTTGTCCTTATTATAATCTATTTCTTTTATTTATTATAAAACACGTGATTTGCTGTCTCGAACCTTCGATTTTTAAATACGACCGGTGACGTAATTTTAATGTGGTTAGCTCGGATAAAATTTTAGGTCATATATTAAATGATTTTAATTTAATACATTTTCTAAATTAAACAAAAGTGATCTACTTGGAAAATTTAATTTCGTAAGTTTGATGTCAATATGATTAGGATATGATGATGATTTTATCATTTTAAAGACTTTTTTAAAAAAGGGGAAATTTTTTTTATTTCGATTTCTCCGGACGAAAAAAAAAAAAAAAAAAAATGACAAATATATTAGCGATTAACGCGGGAAGTTCAAGCTTAAAATTTAAATTATTTCTTCATGATGAGTCCAAAGAAGAAGCAATCAATCTGGTATCAAAAGGATCCATCTCAGAAATCACCTCGGAGATATCAGCATTTTCTGCAAAAATCATTTCATCCGACACCAAAACGACAAAAACTTTACAAACGATCACTCACGAGGAAGCATTTTCTCATATTATATCATACCTACTTGACACTATTTTAAAATCAAAAGATCAAATAAAATATATCGTTCATAGGGTGGTTCACGGTGCGGCGGAAACTCAAGCATTCATCTTGAGATCTGATCCATCACCAACTCGGGCTCTCTCCGAGCTTGATTCATTATCAGAATTGGCACCATTGCATAATCATGCCAGCGTGTTAATAATTAAATCTTGTTTAAAGGAATTGCCGAATTCAACGAATTATGTGTTCTTTGATACGTTATTTCATCAATCCATACCACCTCATGTTTACACTTACGCCTTGCCTTTTGAGGAAGCCAAGCAGAAGAGAATTAGAAAATATGGCTTTCATGGTATAAGTCATTCTTATGTGACTAAGATTGCCGCGAATTATTTGGGAATTGATTGGAATGATGATGATACAAAATTTATCAGTTTACATTTGGGAAGTGGTGCTAGCGTTTGTGCCGTCAAAGGTGGTAAAAGTGTTAACACAACTATGGGATTAACCCCTTTAGAAGGTAAATTTTCGTACGAAAAAAATTTTTTTTTTTTTTTTTTTTCATCTATTTATTAAAATAAAAAAAAACATGATAGGATTACCGGGAGCTACGAGGTCTGGTTCGATCGATCCCTCTGCCATATTCCATCTTTCGTCAAAAGCGCGTAAATGTGAAGAATCGCATCATTCAGTAGAAAAGCAATTTCATCTAACGGAAGCGGAATCTATTTTAAACCATGATTCGGGATTTAAAGGACTTTGTGGCCTTTCAAATTTCGGGGATATCACAAAATCGATTCATGAGGGGAACGAAAATCATGAACGCGCAAAATTAACATTTGATATCTTTGTCAATCGCATCGTGAATTATATTGGAAGTTACTTTGTTGAATTAGAAGGGAATATCAGCGCATTGGTATTCACTGGTGGAATCGGTGAAAATAGTAAAGAATTACGTGAATCGGTCACGGAAAAGGTTGAGTGCTTAGGATTTCCCAAAGTTGATAAGGAGAAAAATGAAAAAGTTGAAGGGTCCTTTAAGAAAGGAGATGATGTTGTGGATATTTCCAACGGAACAGAAGGGAAGTCTCGAGTGTTGGTGGTTGAAACCAATGAGGAAAAAGAAATGGTTAATCAATTAATCACGAAAATTTAGGCATACTTTTCTCGGTGACTTTTGTGTTGCAATCATTTGTTCATGCAATGCCGTGCAGTGTCTGGTGTGAAACAAACAACACTATGCTGTAAACGTCACGCGTTCTTACAAAAATTTCTTTCGTGTGTAATGTGAATTCAAGTGAGGTCATTTGACTGCACGTGTAACCACTTGATGGTGGCTTTATAAAAAAATTTTTCATAATTAGCAAGGAATAGGTAAATTCATATTTTAATTTACCGAAAATATAAAAATTTACAATGCAGAGAATACGCATGTCACAGTTTCAATATCAATTGATTTTTCACTTTAAATAAACCGAATATACTCGAATTAATTCCATGGAAATAAACAATTTTGACGTGAAAATATCAAGGCATCACTTTTTTTCAATCGTTATTTTCAAATGTTCTTCTTGCTCCTCTTCTTTTTGATTCGTCATGCTCAATTACATGTATTTATAGACTTTCGTGCAGAAATCTATGAACATGTCTTTCATATTTGACAAGGAAATGCAACGCATAACACAAAAAATGCTCTCGTTAAACTACATTGAAAGATATCCGAAAAGAGCATGTCTTTTCTTTTTGATTGTTTTGCATTTACCGAAAAGAATTTGATGAAAGATGAAAGAAAAATAACCTATTTATTTAAAAAATCTTTGTATCTACATTACGTGCATGAAAACCGCAGCAGGTAACAATGGTAACAAATATGGTCTCATAGAAGACACCTATTTTAAAAATAAACTATGATGTGATGTCACCCTTCCGCCCGTCCGCTAAACCTTAAAACGTACAATGTACTCTGAAACTAACCTCCTTGCATCAATTTTTTTTTTTCTTTTTATTTGACATTAAAAATAAAAATATATATGTTTACCACTCTTTTCGGCCTAAAAGAAACGAACAAATAGAACATCCTTGCGTAAGGCTGAAATATTGTCCCACGGGATAAAAACTTTGATCGTTTCCGCTTTCGGATTGAACGCGGCAAAAACGACAAACTTGTCCAACTGCAAAAAATATATAAATCTTTAAATATATATATATATATATATATATTTTATATGAAAAAGGTTTTTACATTATCGCACATAATCAGCTAGCTCATTTTTTTCCAATTGGGAAAACCTAAAAGGAACAGTTTTTTTTTTTCTAAAAGAAAACCGATCAATTAGAACCCATATTTATAGACGACAACAAGATGTTACATGAAATTACGTTATCGTAAATTAAAAAAACCAACCTTTTACCAGTAAAACCCATAAATTAAATTGTGTAAGAATAAAAAAAAAAAAAAAAATTTTAAATAAATTAATGGTCAAATGACCTTATGTGTGTAATTGTATTGATAAAGTTTCATCTATCTTTGACAATAAGAAAAAAGTTGGAAGCCACACAGACGTTAATCTACCACGAAAGAACGACTGCGGACACATCATAATGCATATAAACTGAGACGATTGCCGAGAAGAAAGGGAGATTTGTACTGTAAAGTTGAGGGGCGAAAAAAAAAAAAAAAATAGGGGGACACAAATATCGGCTGCAAAGTTATGCATGAACAAATTAATATAAATTCGTTTCAAAATCTTTCAACCCTGTATGTGATGAATAATAGATTTTGTTGATCTTCGTACACTAAAAAACTACTTTGGATCATAAAAAAAAAAAAAAATTGATTAATCGAAAAAAAAAAAAAAAAAAAAAAAATATTTTTATAATATTTTTTGATTGTCTCACTCAAGCGGTACATAAAATTAAAATTCCTGGATTGGGCGCCCTTTATTTTAATTGTTTGAATTTATTCATATTTTTAAATTTAGGCTAGATCACTTTTTAAAATCAAATGAATGAATATTTAAATACCATGTAGCTTTGAACATCTCTGACACAAAAATTTTTTTGATAAGAGAATTATCACGAAAAAAAATTTTTTTTTTAAAAAAAAAATATTACAAAAATTATTTGTATATAAGATAATAAAGAATAAAAAAATTAGAAGTAAAAACTTGTTTTTAATAGTAATAATCATAAAAAATGTCGAACTTGAAATACAAGTCCAAAGAACGAATAATACTAAATGTCGGTGGTATTAAAGTGAGTGTTATTCGTGTGCGCTTGCTTATTCGATATCAAATACAACGTGTGGCACAGAAATTTAGACATCCTTCGTTTTCTTTTTCTTCAATCCTCTTTAGTACGAAACATATCGCTCAACACTAACCGCATATCCGGAAACAATGCTCGGTACGATGTTTGAAGAACGAAATAAAGAACTCCTACATCCAACGAACGGTAACGAATATTATATTGACCGTAACGGACGATTATTTTATTGCATATTACAATTTTATCGAACGGGAAAGATACCATCCGCAGATAAAGGTGAGCATTACGCGCTTTGAGCTCACTTATAATCCTCGCGTAATCGTTTCTAATTAAATTTGCTCATCTGAACAACCAAAAAACTTTAGCAAAGTGCGCCATACCAATAACGCAAAAGGAACTCGACGCGGAATTGGATTATTTCATGATACCGCGGCCAAAACGATTATTATCGAAAACGCAACCACAACCCAAATCGCAAGTTACAAAATTATCACTAAGAAGTCGAACCGTAGCGGCCGAATTGGATGATTTCATTACAGCGTTAAAGACAGCGATTAATCGAGCGATATTATATTTTCAAAAAAAGATTTATAATGTCAAAAGGACTCGGGTTTAACGTGACGCTTGAAATGGCATTTTATACGTCGGATCGGATGCAACCAGTCATTACCGTTTTGCCAACGACCATAGGAAAATCTCCCGTGCCTCAAATAGCCGAGGTAATAAATCAACCTGCATTTGGCACACGAGCGTATGCATTATTAAACGGTTTTGGCGATAAGATTGGTGAACATTTAGAAGAAAGTTATCCTGGATTATGCTGGGATTTATTATTGCTCAAAATCTGTAGTGATTCGGATGGTTCAATAGATTCGATGTATCGTGTACGAATACAAATATGCGATGAATTTGATTATGAAGAAATAATTAAGAATTGTTGTCTATCAACGACTTCATTAAAATATTGTTACTAAAAAAAGAAAAGAAAAATCGGCACGCTCGTAAAAACGTGAAATTTTATTGGTTCCAACACGCGTATTTTTTTTTCGCATCAAGGCTGCATCATAAGGAATAATATGAAGAGATTTAAAATTATACATAATGCACTGCGAATCATGCGAATCAACTGCTAAACACTTGAACTCGTTTCTTTTAAGATAAAAACGTAAATAACACGCATTATATAAGCAATTAAACTAATCATGTTTCGACAATTTGTAAATTATAATCATATGATATAAGAAAAAAAATTTTTTTTAAGTAAATAAAAAAAAGCAGAAATGCATAGATTTTAAGGAACAGTTTCTTTAATAGTTTATTCGGTCAAGATAGCATATATCAATACAATAAGTAAAATGTAATCTTTTTATGACTTTCCTTTCACAACAAATAAACTTGTATTTCCTAGAATAAGTAATATTTAATGAGAACGGACACCACAAAAAAAATCAAATTTAGAAAGGTTATAACCTAATAAACATCGAATGTGGAAATTTTTAACTTAACCAAATATGGTTTATTTGAAATTTTTATTTGCACACATTTCTGTACAGTTAATGACGCAAAAATTTACAAAGGGTAAATTTCAAACTTTAAAAAAAAAAAAAAATATCAAAAAATTATCAGTGTTCGTATAAATATATATATATTTTTGTGTCTAATAATGTCTAATAATATACAAGGGACTTTGAAAAAAAAATTTATAGAATAAATAAATATTAGCATCTATCTGATGCTAAACTTGATCCTTCTTTTCTCTCTAGATTCGCATCAACTCATCGAATCACTGCTAGCACCCATTGAATCCGAAACAACCGAAGAAAGACAACAATGATTGACGACATCATCATGTTCAAAACTATTTTCCACACCAACCTTAACCTTGTACATTTGTTGTAATCCGCCCCAACCAAATTCTTCAACTTTTTTACATTCCCAAGTACAACCTTGGACGGTAGTGGTCATGTATCTACCAATTTCTTCCCCAAACCTGTCCAACATGGCGTAACCTAACAAGGCAAATTCATCAAAACCTTTTTGTAATCGAGTTTTAATGATACTATTTACGCTTGGGTAGATATTAAAATCCGATATACGTTCATTATGATGAAACGTTATCTCGAAACGAATTTGAAATTGTCGTTTAAAGAAGAATTCTTTTTTAAATTGTGATGAGATGGTCAACAACGTATCATTTAACGTCGATGTAAATGAATCGATTTCCGCTGCAATCATTTTGTGACGAAGCGAGAGTTGTGAGGGGGATAAGGTTGTGGCTGAAAACGATGAAGGTGGATATGTGGGAATCTTAAAATATTCCAATTCATCTTCCAATTCTTGAGCTGTAATTGGAACCAATCCGATTGCTGATAAAGGAAGAACCTAATAAGTAAGTAAAACAAATTTCGTTCAAATAATATTTTTTTTACCTATTACATACCTTGTTCTGTCGTTGGAACCTTTCCTGTTCGATAAAATTGCATGATGTAATGAAATAAATGACCGTCTCGATCGATAAAGAATTCATTTCCATGATTCGGGTCAGTTAATGGATTTTCTTCATCACTGTAATGATAAAATATTGATCCGAGCAAAGTCGTTGGATAGGAAGTTAATGTTGACCTGTATGTTTCATACTAGAACATCCGGGTAAGCGAGGGAGGTGGAGAGAAAAACGAGAGCATTTAAATTTAATATTCCCATTGAAGCTTCTAAAGGATGAATTTGATTTTAAATAATTATGTACCTTAATACCTCCTACATTGAGAGTGATTTTATCCCTGGAGGCAAGATTTTCGGCATTATTATCAGTGTCATTATGATTAGAAATATCGTCAGCTGCTCCGTTTGTTGGCATTGTGTGCTTTTTATTATTTTCTAGAAGAAAGGGAGATGGATAGTGCTTAATATAGCAAACTGATGATTTTATGTGCCTAAGGTTGCACAAAATAATTTACTATTACAAGGGATTGGCACCTTTTTGACAGCTATTTACGCCCACGGTTCACAAAAAAAAAAAAAAAAACTTGGTGCGGGGTTTGTTTAGGGAATAACCTGATTTTTTTGATGTCGAATATTTTTAAAGTTGAAATTTTCATTTGATCACAACAACAAAGAAAGCAAATGCATCATATGACCCAATCAAGTGCAGCATTTGCATTCGCATTTTTTTTTTTTTTTTTTTCTTTCTTTCTTTCTTTCTTTTATTTAGTATATAATTTTTAAAGATTAATAGATGCACACATCCGGTAAATCTATGCATTTCTGCTTTTTTTTATTTACTTAAAAAAAATTTTTTTTCTTATATCATATGATTATAATTTACAA